AACTAAAATAATTATAGATTTAAACCTTTAAAACTTTACAGGTTATTTTTAAAACATCTTTATATCAGGATGTTTCCTTATTTTAAACATATTTCCAGTCTTTATTAATTCTTACAGTAATTCTTTCTCAGGTTCTGCTGTTGGATCAGTGGAATCACTGACAGGATCTATTGGCTGATTTATGTTTATTTATTTCAGATTAAATCAGAATAAAAACCTTTCAACTCGTTTCTGTTAGTTTATTTTCGTGTCCTTGATCCTCGCGCGCTGATTGGTCCTTTTCTGGCTGTGGTCCTGCCCCCCGCGCTTTGATTGGTCTACTGAGTTCCATGCCCTCCCTCTGCGCCTCCTGATTGGTTCGTGCGGCGCTCGGTGTTTCCACGCTGCGGCTCCAGCAGAGTCACCTTGCTTCAGCCGCTGCTGCACCGGGGAGCGACCAGGGAACCGTCCGGCCCAGAGGCACACAATCAGGCACTGGGAGCGGGAATCTGAGCGGGACTCTGCGGCCACCGACCGAAGCGGGTCGACATGGCGGACACTAAGCCGAAGACCTCACCGAAGGCCATCAAGTTCCTGTTCGGAGGTCTGGCCGGGTAGGTGCTGCTGCTAGCCGCGGAGCTAACGGCTAATGTCAGGGGTCAGCGGGGAGCAGGAGGCCCGGAGCCGGCTGGGCTGTCAGGGTCAAACGGTGAACGGAACCAGGGGGGCTGCCAGGGTCAGATTAGAGCTAATTCTGGATTATTACCACGATAGAGTCCCAATCTGAGAGGAACCGAGCTAATCCGGAGCTGCTAGCGGCTAATGCTAGCTGTCAGGAGGTGTTGTGGTTCAGTTTGTCCCCAGATTATCTGCCTCTCCTCTGATTGATCACCTGGGACCAGATTCAGAGTCTCTGACTGGATCAGAACTACCTGGATTCAGAACCACCTGGGTCAGAACCACCTGCATCAGAACCACCAGGGTCAGAACCACCTGGGTCAGAACCATCTGGATCAGAACCACCTGGATCAGAACCACCTGGATCAGAACCACCTGGATCAGAACCACCAGGGTCAGAACCAGGGTTCTGTTTCAGACTGATACCTCCTGAGGTCCAGCTCTGGTTCTAACCCTCCATCAGAACCCAGTTTGGACCCCTGGATCAGAACTGGTTTATGAAGCCCAGCAGAAGGTTACTGGACCTGGTGGAACCAGTCCCCGGACCTTTAGAACCCTACAGGCATTCAGAACCTGTGGTTCTGGTTCTGCCCTGGTTCTACGGTTCATCAGCCACCATGGTTCTGTTCAGTGAAGCAACCAGAACCGTTGGACGGGTCAGAGGAGAACCAGTAGGACCTTCTGGCTGCAGGTCCATCTGGGATGTTTCTTTAGAACCCAGTAGAACTTCTCTGTCCTTCTGCTAACAGAACCAGAACCAAGCAAACCTCAGGTTGTGGTTTTGTAGTGGAGGTTCTATTAGAACTCTGCGGTCCGACCCGTCTGAGGACGGGAGGAGCTCCTCTGGAATGAGACAGAAATAACCCGGACCTGAAGGAGGAGCCGGAGGAACCGGAACCTCTGGAATCTGTAGAGGCAGCCTGTGGAGGTCAGTGGGCCCGGTTCTGAAGGTGAAATGGATCAGAACCAGCCTCCCATCGAGCTCAGCGTTTTCTAGAAGATTCCTCTGGAGGCAGAAGTTCTGATGGAGGCCAGGAACCAGCAGAACCTCTTCAGAACCGCTTCCACCCCAGACCACTGGGTTTCTCTGACTGATGATGGCGGTACCGGTTCTATGAACAGTCAGAACCAAACCTTCATCCCTGCAGTCCATCAGAACATCTTCAGGACGGGTCCATCTGGACCTGGACCAGTCCTGGGTCTGTAGGTCCAGATGGGCCCGTTAGAACCTGGTTCTGCTGGGCGGGTCCCGGGTCCTCATGTTCAGAACTGTCCACCGTATGGTACCGGGCCCTCTGTCCTGACCCGAGTCCTTGGAACCAGCTCAGGTCCAATGGTTCTGGTCCCTGCAGAACCTCCTGATTGGGCCAGAAGTTCCCCATCACTGAACCTTTGGACTGGGTTTTGTGTTTCTTTGAAAATGTCTACTGGTTTCCATGGCAACCAGAGGGTTCTGCTCGTCGGTTCTGGTGGAAGCGGGCTGGGTTCACCTCCCAGAGTTCAGCTGGGTCAGAACCAGGTTGATGTGGTTCTGTTCTGGTGAAGATCTGGACTCTGACCTCCCTGCTGAGCTCAGCATCTTATCTTATCAGGGCTGTTACCATAGCAACCATCTGACGGCTGCACACATGGATCTGGATCTGATCCAGGACCTGGACTGGTTCTGGTTCTGCTTCAGAGAGATCCTCATAAATCGCAGACCTCTGAGCTCTACTGGTCTCCTTGGTTCTGGGGTTCTGGAGCAGTCCGGTTCCTGGGCTTTAGGACCCAGGCTGCTGTTTGTGGAGGTTCTGGATGAGGCGGACCCGGTCCATGGTGCGGTTCTGGTTCTGCAGCAGTAACGGGTCGCTCTGTCCTCCTCAGCATGGGAGCCACGGTGTTCGTCCAGCCTCTGGACCTGGTGAAGAACCGCATGCAGCTCAGCGGTCAGGGAACCAAGGCCCGCGAGTACAAGACCAGCTTCCACGCCCTGTTCTCCATCCTGAAGAACGAAGGAGTGGGAGGCATCTACACCGGGTAGGTCCGCTAACACCACCCCCCCAGCTGCTGGCCCGGTTCTGGTTCTGATTCTGCTCCCTCTGCCCAGCCTGTCTGCAGGTCTGCTACGTCAGGCCACCTACACCACCACCCGCCTGGGCATCTACACCATCCTGTTTGAGAAGATGACCAGCGCCGATGGACGCCCTCCCAACTTCCTGCTCAAGGTCCGTCCTAACAGAACCCTTCAGAACCCAGCAGGCCCGGTTCTACAGAGCTATATCGTTCTATAGAGCTAACGTGTTCTACAGCGCTACCGTGTTCTACAGCGCTACCGTGTTCTATGGAGCTTACACGTTCTATAGAGGTAACACGTTCTATGGAGCTAACACGTTCTATGGAGCTAACATGTTCTATGGAGCTAACACGTTCTATAGAGGTAACACGTTCTATGGAGCTAACACGTTCTATGGAGCTAACATGTTCTATAGAGGTAACACGTTCTATGGAGCTAATACGTTCTATAGAG